TTAAAAGTAGGGGCGCTATACGCTTATACCATGAATCCCTATATCACATATGGGTAGTTGTCAAAATTATGGTCCCTTTTGGGGTACCCTAAATAATAGGTGCCGTATTATAATAAAGACCCAAAAAGGGACCATAATTTTGACAACCACCCATGTATGTATGTATGTATGTATGTATGTATGTATGTATGTATGTATGTATGTGTGTAAGTGTGTATGTGTGGATGGATGGATGTACGTATGTTGTGTATGTATGTAGGTATGTAGGTATACGGCTTGATGCGAAGAGGTGCCGCGATAGTAAGGCACTTCCTTTATCAGGAAGGTTAGTGCTCTTCGGGCTCTCGAACGCTAGCACCAGCTGGTGCGATAGTTCTTTCCAATGCAATTGTGCTTTGACAGCGCAGGCATGGACGAGGGAGGCCGGGATCACTTCGACAGGGACTTTGCAGGAGAAACAGGGAAGTCTTGTGCTCTTTCCAGCAGTGAGACCACAGACATCGCTGGACAAAAAAGCAGGGGTGCCGCATAGGAAGCTAGTGATGAATCATGACGGCTTTTCATGCAGACGGCGCGCTACATTGGTTCTTCTGTTTTCTTATCTTGCTCGCAAAGTGTGTTTCTTTGAATTCGGTCTGAACAGAACGGATCAGTCCAGCCAAACAACATTGCAGGCCATTGCAGCAACGCAGCTATGGAGACACTAAATATGTTTTTGGAAACTTCCCGCAATTGTCTGTCTGGTGCAGTACTGCTGTTGCTCGTCCACCTGCCAATCAATCCTGCAACTTTAATGAGCTTGGACTGCTTGGACTTTCGGAAGTTCGCACCTCGTGGCCTAGACCTTCGTGGCCGTCTGACCGTGTTGCCAAACTTACCAACATGACAGGTGCCCGGGACAAGCATAGAGGTCCGTTTGTCGTGGTATTCTCTGACGAACCAGGGAGACCAGGAGGGAAAAGAAGGAGGCAGGAAAGAAAGGCAGGATGTAATGAAGCGAGGAACGGGGAAGACAGATAAGATAGAGATTCAGGAAGGACTGTAGGAAGGAAAATGGTGTGCAGAGAAGGCAGACAGCTGAGTCACAACGAGAGTTGATGATCAAGCACCGAGGGAAGGACGAAACGGAAACAAGGCACACACCTCAAGCACAAAGTTCAAGGAGGGACAAGAAGCAAGAACGAATATGCAGAAGGACGAAAACAATTCACAAAGGAAGGAGCGCAAAAATCATGCGCATCCCCTGTGTCACCAAGACACACAAAAGCCTGCCCTCCCAAACTGAAAGTAAAGGAGCTAAAACGCCAATGCAACATCACACATAACTACATTTCTGTTCATTTTGATTGGTTTGTTGTTTCTGGGTTTCTGAGGTCTTGGTGGTTTTGCTTTTGCTTTGGAACGCGTGCGTGCACCCGCATCTGACGTTGTCAAACCTCGTCCCGTAGTCGTTTGGATGCTCCCTGAGCCCTCTGCAAGCCTGAATCATAATCCGAGTCTTATAAGTCAAACAAAGTGGTGTAATGAGAGGGTCACCTTTCATGGTACATGTATACGTATATACATAGATATATATTATATATTTGGCTATGTTTGTATATGTACAGACACACCTGTATACGTACGTGTATATGTACATGCATGTGTATATGATGTATATGTAAATAGATAAATATATGATTACTTGTATATGCACCTGCATCGAAGCATATACGCATGTATGTGTACACATGTTTATATGTATATCTAGTATATACATATTTATTCATTTGTGTAAGCATAGATGTATTTATGTACATATGGAGTTTGTGCATACGTATATATATATATATATGTAGTGTAGCACACTTGTGTG